TTGGGGGGATTTCGACCATTTGACCTGAGCTTAGCTGCTGTTTGTGCTGATAAACCATCCCCAGTCGTTTCAGATAAATCCCACATACCCAGAGACAAAGATCATCATACGACTCATATGACTCTATGGCCCACAGGATAAGTATGTCCAATATTGGGGAAAAAAACACCATGTTCAAACAATTGGGAAACAAAAATTGGAGCATGGCAAAACTGTGGTCAACTTGGGAACATACCATTAGCAATATATATATATATATAGCTATAGGCTATAACAATAGCATAAAGATAGGAGTGGCCAGGTATATCCTGCTTTTTAAGGCATGACTTGACCGTCCTGACAGCTCCAAGCCAGTTGTTTCGTACGTGGTCAAACTTCGTGACTTCCACCTGCGTCGCTGCGAAGTTCAACTAAAACCACGTCGTGACGTCGTGATCGACCAGATGGCAAAAAACATCATGACTCGGAGCCCAGACTGAATTTTCAGTATCGAAAGCTCCAAAATGTCCTGTTACTTTGCCTTGGCACTTCAATGATGTTGGCCATCCCGGCATGTGGATTGGTAATGATTCTTCACATTGCTTTACGGCTATGGTTTCAGATCACCTCTTGCTTCGGCGAAGTTCAGTACTACCAGTCACATGTCGCCCATGGTTTTCCATCTGGGAATCGGTGACCAGTGGTGACCAGCATCCGTCGCACCTGTGCACTGAAGTATTCGTACTGGATGCCCAAGCCTCCAATGCGGCTGCACTCGAACCTGAAAAAAGGCACTCCGAAGAAACCAGTGGGAGGGGCGTCATGGACGCCCCGTTCAGAAACCTAGCTTCAGATTTCTGGAACAAACAGTTGGGTGATTGTCAGTCAAAACTTAAGAGGTCTGGGTATGTTCACCTCACGCAGCTAGATTCGTCTGGAAGAAAAAACACGATGCTCGTCTTGATTGGGGAGGCCGTTATTGATCTCTGTCAAAGATGGTTGCGCGAAATACTATCTATCTATACGTACATATATATATATATTACATATATATTATAAATATATATATATATATAATATTATATATATATACAGTAAGGACTCACAGGTGCGACTCTTTTTTGCATGTGGAATAAACATGCCATTTTCAGATGGCTCCGTGTCTTCAGGGATTCTCCGTTCATTCGCAAGCGCCGCCCAGCTGCATGTACTTGTTGGAGCCGGACTCGAGTTTGAAACCTCTCATGGAAGGACGATCCAAAGGCGGGTCTCGAAGGGTCAAACACTGCCAAACTGGGAAAACAATGGAAAACACATAGGTGTGTCATAGGTATTGGATAGTATAGCTATGGCTTTGCCAATTCTTGTAGTCAACTATCCCAGTTCATCCCAGTTCTTCTAAGTCAAGAAGAACTAAGCCAATCACATATCCGTACTCTGACCCGCCATCCAGCTTGGTCAACCCCTGTCAACTGAATTTTGACCCACAGGGCAATGTTCAGTCAATGTGCCCATGTGGTGAGAGACGTTGAGAGGTCGTCATATAAATCATCCAAGAGTCTCTGGTCCTCACGTAATCCCAAGCTGTTGATGGATTTTGATGGAGGGGTTCGTCAATTTTTCAAAACCCATCTAAAGGTCTACTTTGCACAAACTTCAAAATGTCATGGGTCACACCTGCCTAATTACCCACAATCACATCTGCAGGCCTTTCGGAGTGCTTGAATCCCTGAACCCTACCGTTTCCCACGGGTGTTTACCCATGCCGAAACCACCGTTTTCCCCAAAACATTCCGCAACGATCCGCAACATTCCGCAACCTGTCAGTGCTTCGCCCGGAGGACAAAGAACTGGGTTGTCGGCCAACAAGGTGTTCCTCAGCAAAAAGCACTGCTGTTTGATAAGGATCTAATGGGGGTTATATATATATAAATGGGTGTTCATGGGATTTCCCAATGTTTTCATGGGAATATCATGGAGATTTTTCACAGCTGCGACTGAGGGAGGAACGGAAACATTGAGACAAGATGATTTGCCAATTTTGGCCTGGTTCAGTACTGTATCTGTTCATTGTGGAACCCAATATTAAGGGGCATTTATTCTTTGAGGATGTTGGAAAAAACAAAGACTTCAACCATCAGCGACTCAAGAAACAACCACCATCAGCTGCTGCCGCCTTCTTGTAAGTTGGTTTATAAATCCCACTAAATGTAGTGACAACCACCTGCAGTATTGAAACTACTTAGACACCCAACTTAGCCAACTGGCCTTCCAAGTACCAATGACATCAATGACCTCCTTAGAAAACTGCCACAACAGCGCCACCAATGACCAACTTCGGTTCAGCTTCCAGTTGGGCCAATCCCCACTGGTCTTGTCGTAGATGATCCCCGTCTCCACCTCAAGTGTGGTATGTTGAGCCGAACAAAATCGGACTTCAACAACAAACATCAAGGTAGAATTCCCCTTAAGATCTACAGTTATATAACTTATATAACTTATATATCAATATTCCCACAAAATCCAAATGACCCGTATTTTCACCATTGGATTCTCGTGGATTCTGGCTTCTGACGACCAAAAAGGTCGGAGGGGGTGCGACATGCGTCCACTGCGTCCACGCCACGAAAGTTCCAAAGCGGATCACTGGCGCGAAGTGACATTCCGAGACCTTCCTGCCGGATAGATAGCTAGATAGATAGATAAATGGATGGATAGACAGATTGATTTTCCCCACAGGATCTCTTCAAAAAAAACCACCAAAAAAATCTGCCGAAGATCTGGTGCCGGGTTTTGCTGGTGCCCCCTTTTTCGATGATCCCTGATGGGTCAACGTTTAGTTGAAAATGGTGCAAAACCTTTTTGGTTCCCGAAAATGATCTACATTCAAGCTGGGTTGGAAACCACATCTGGCTAAATTATAATAGTTTTAAAAAAAAACCTAAAAATAGCTGAAATATGGCCAGCTATGAGGTATTCCGGGTTCATAGTTCATTGGTTAATATTCACTGTAATTCCCTTACAATTCCCAGCTATGGGGATGATTTCCCGATTGAAAGCTCCACTTATAGTGGGATGTATCTATATGTCCCCCATAGTTTCCCTATATTTTCCCATGATGTCCCATATATGCCCATATGTTCCCTGTATTTCCCCATATTTTCCCCATATGTTCTCCGTATCTTCCCATCATTTCACCTAGGACCATGGATCACCTGGATATGCGGCGCCGGCTCTCGCCCGCGAAGATCTGCTGAAACGCCAAGCTGGACAAGGCTCCATGGGCACCTAGGCTCTCGCTTGACATGGATGGTTTAATCATGGTGGTTTTACAATGGAATGTGAATGAGATATGAATTTTATATGAATGGGGTATTCAATTGGATAATCATATTGGCAATAAGTAAACAGATTGTAAGTACGTAATTTTACACTAATCCACATTGGGAGACTTATACTTATGCGTATTTGGAGAAAATATGAATGGGTTATCAATGGCATTAATAAATTGTATATTCGGATATTCATATGAATTGTTTTTCTCAGTGGTTATACTATGATACACCACTATTGTTATAGTTGTTTATTTCAATGGGATATTCTGGGATAACAAGCATGATTCATAAATGGTTTTAAGTAAACCATTCATAAGCAATTAATATTACACTAATCCACATTGGGGTAATTATCCATTATTAATGGGATAATTAACCCCTACTACAATGATGTTTAGCAATAAATGGTATATTAATTGTCAATATTATAGTATATCAATGTGTATTAGTGGTTTATCGTATCAATTACACTTATTAATTTTGACAATGAATTATGTACAATGGGATAGACTCGGATAATAACTAATAGTGGCATATGTAGATATTATGTTGATATACTGGAAGAACAAGTAATCATGGTATATGTATATAATTGTTATTTACGATTTCGCATATTACATAAAACAAACAATTCATTACCAAGTGTATAAATGAGTGTACATATATACCACATATACACTATCATGTGTCCAAAGAGGATAAACGTCTGTATGTGTGTATATATATATATCCTATATGAATTTATCTGCACAATGACAGTTTAAATTACCCAATGAACGGTTTATTACATATATTCTATGGGTAATAGAATGAGGATATAAATGATAATCATGGGATATCATGGGATATATACAGTAACCAATTCATCTTCGAAGGGTTTGTCTGAAAAAGAGAAGAAAAAACCTAAAACCATAGGTTGATCAGCATTTTGACACATGTTCCCCTGAAAAAAAAAACTCCATAGGTTGACCCATTTTGGTGGTATACCGTTGTAACCGTTGAAAAAACCCTATTGAACAAGACCCAAATTTAGCTGGACCAGATGGGGAGACCCCATTGGGATGATTTTCGTAAATCGCCGGTGGTCATTTCCCACGTGCAAAAAACTATAGATAACTTAGATATAGTGAGTTTTTTTCCAAAGAAAAGGTGTCGGGTCAAAATATATGTCAAATTTAAAACGACCCCACCATAAAAAGTCGATGAGTCAATAGAAACTGACGGCTTTCCTGGTTGTAATTCTTAAATGTCGAGCCGAGGCGCCACAGAAGGAGCTGTAGGCCAAATGCACGTGCTGGGCACTGCGCTCGAACTGCTGATGCATACCTCGACGGAGAGGAGGGACCCATCAATGGATTGGGAAAATCTGCAGGAAACTGTTCTTGACCTCCAAATACAAGGCTTTTCCTGTGGATTTTCCGTAGAGAAGTACAAAGTATGTAAATACGATCCTCCTAAAATCATGAAAAAACCCAAACGAAATCTTGGTTTGCATTTTGGGGTCCGAAACGTTGAGGGTATCTGACATTGCGGATATGGATAACTATGGATGAGTAAAGTGGTATTTCCAGCATTCACTTTGGGGTAACCCAAGACATCCCAGGACATTCGAACCACCGACAGTAGAATTCTCCAACAACAATGGCATTTGGAAGAAGCATGAAGAAACGGTGGACGTAGCATGGGCATCCATGGGCTATCACTGCCAGATATCGACAACCTGGAGATCGAAGTGGTGGAATCCCTTCAGTATGGGCCCACTGTTGTATTGTCGAAGTGATGTAGCACTCATGATCATTTACTGGCAAAAATGGGGCTTGGACAACCTAAAAAAGTGGGAACATGAACGAACTAACCATGAAATGTGCGTAGAAACGATCTTCACAATAGTGCGTTGCTGTTCGATACTCCAGTCGTCACCATCAGAAGGTGCATTCCTATCAAAGAACCAATCTAGTTCGCACATCCACGGGTGGCAACTTTCAGAAACCGGAAATCATGGCACAGGAATTGATGCCGGTTATATCCCCACCGTTCTCCCATCTCTGTCCGTTGTCTATATATGTATATATATATATAGCCATGTTCTTCTTTGATTATATCTTGTTCCGGCAGTGAGCGTGTCTGAAAATGGGAGTTATACCACAAGATTGTCATGTTCCTTTCGGGAGAATGATGGAAAATAATGAGAAAATGATGAATATATATATATATAATATATATAATATATATAATATATATATATACATTTTTTAGGGCTACCCTAAGATCACCAGTTCGATCACCTAATCGGGCATCTCCAAGGTGCTCCAGATGAGGCTTGGCAAGGCCAGCGGATTGACCAACTGCGAAGACTTGTCTTGATCCTCGGTGCTTCACCAGGTGCCCCAGTTTCCTATGGCTTTCCTATGGCTTTCCTATGGGATCCCATGGGTCACCGAAAAGCTGGAAACTGAGCGTCAAAGCTTGGGGCTTTGAAAACTGGTCAATTTAGCACCAAGGACGGAGTCCAGCGAGTGAGAAGGTGGAGACTCTCAAGTTCCAATACTAAGCCATGGTTTTTCGGGTCAGGAGAAAGGGATCATTGGATCATGGCATATCATGGCAACATGCCAATGTTAAATACAAATTGCAAGTTGCCAGCAATGCTTGAAATGGATCGCCAACAACTTGAGATACCTTGGTTCCTAGGGTTAAAGATGGTCTCTTGGCGCGTCATTCCTCCAGCACATACATGTTGTATTATGTTGTGTGTACATGTGTAATTATGCATGTATCATCCTGTTGTGTGGTTTATGTTTCACATAAAAGCTTGGATTTCCAATTGAATTCCAAAAAATACATCACGAAAATGGACTCTTCTCAGCCTACCCAGACACCATCTTGAGCCCGAGAGGCGCACGGATAGCGGAAGAGAAAGGGGAAGTTGCCTCAGCACTTCATGGCAGGAAATTTCACCTCCAACGTCAACATACTTATCCAAGTCACTTATCCAAAGCCCACTTTTTTTTTGTTTGTGTGTCTCTGACAATGGGAGATGGACCCCCCAATTTGGCCAGTGACTGGAAAAAATCATGAAAAATCTGATCAACCAGTGGAATTTGATTCGCACTGGCGAGCCGAGGAACTTTCCTTGCCAACTTGCATGCAATCACCGGTGGTATTATCCTCAGCTTCTTCGCTTCTTCGTGCTGGGCTTATACCCACTAATGTTGCTGGCTAGATGGGGGTTTCCCCACGGCAATCCAGTAGGAATCCAGCGATGATCGCAACAGGTGAGTTTTCACTTCCACATTGGATCTTCTCTCCACGACTTTTTTTACAAGTGAAAACTTACTGGATTCCCCCAGAATTTGAACGAAAAACAAGTGGTTTGGTTTCAATGCTCGACTCCCCTCTGCCAAACCTAGCGATGAATACTTGTTCAGTCTTAGTCGAAGGGTTATCGCCTTTATCACAGTTGTCCATTCGCTACCGTTGGTCCGAATCGGGTCTCTCCAAGTCCAAGTCCAAGTTTGATGGCCATGAATCGATCGTCCCACCCCCTGAAAACAAACGAACATCTCGAACGCCGACTTGAAGATCTTTACAAGATCCGATGATCCAATTCCGACACATCCTCAAACTGCCGCAATGTCCAAGAGTCATCACATTTTTCTTCATTTTTTTCATACTTTTATGGCCAAATAGTTTTTGGCCTCCAAAAAATCACCCCCGCCAAAACCTCCATGCCACTGCTGCCCAGGCGGCCTGGGACAGCACCCGCATCAAACGATCCTCGGGATCTGCAGAGCCAACGACTTCCATGGACATGATCTCGGGGCACGCCTGGAGAAAACTCCCATGCCAGGGCCGTGTTCGGAGGGAAAAAGGTGCGAGGAAGAAACATAGATCGATTTTTGAGCCGTGTCTTTGTTAGAGGTTGTGTATCAATAAAGTGGCATATAATGGGATATGATCGGGAAATGTGGGTATGATTGGGATTGCCTCACCAAGATCTGGTGAAATTCAAGAAGACATGGGAGGTATTGACCAAAAAAAGGAACGTTGCATAGGTGAAAAATTGGATTTGCACCAAACATGATGGTGTATAAAACCAAAGCAAAGAAACAAAAAACAAAGAAACAACAAAGCAGAGAAACGAAGCAAAATAACAGAAACAAAAAAAACAAAAAACAGAAAAACGAAAAACAGCGAAGCAGAGAAGCAAAAAAAACAGATAAAGCAAAGGAGCAGAAAAACAGAAAAAAAAAAACGAAAAACAAATTCCCCAAACGGAACCAAAAGCAGAAAGCAATGGAAGGTCCAACGAAGAGGGTGGCAAAAAAAAAAAAAACTGACCCGGAAAAAAAAACTAAACAAATCCCTTCCCATATTAAATTTAGAACCTTAATGAAGAAAATTAAATGATCGATTTCAAAAGCGATCAAATTCCTGTTTGAAATTTAAATAAAATATTGCCCAAACTTGGATTTCGAAATTTTCCCCTAATATTAACCCCAAACCTTAATTAAAAAAACTCAAATTTCGATCTTGAAAGACGGATCCTAATAAAAAGAAACACCCCGGGGTTATTTATTTTTTAACTGACTATTAGGGCGTGAAACCGTCAAATTAGACCTTGATTTTTAAATTGGTTTCTAACACGGATCAATAAAAAAATGAAATTGTCTGGTTGCCAACCTGAATCTTCCCAAAGTTGGAAGCGCACCTTAGTGTTCAATATTTGGGGTACGTTCAGTAATAGGAGAAGGGATGAGTGATCATAAAGTGGCTAGTACAGACTCACTATGACCGTTTACATTTATTTTTCAGGGCATCTCTCAGAACCGATCCATCTACCACACTGCTCTCGCGGCACCTCCTTGTTCTCCAGATTAAAGCGATTCGCCAGGTGTGTTCGCCGACGGTTGGGCGTGGTCAGGCAGTACTTGGGCAAGATGTTGCTGGTTTCCTGGGCGAAGACTTCTGAAAGTCGGGGATAACACATGATTTGCGTCTGGAAAGGGGGGATACCTCCAGTGTATGTTAATTGGGAGAAGTGATGATAAACCACTGGATTTTTGGGTAGCTCGTTTTCAGACAAATCCAGTAAAATACAACAATTGAGTATTGTATAAGAATGCACTGTATAAGAATTTGAAGGGCTCGGATCCAATGCGGGTTACATATTTTCAGCTATACCAGGCACATAACAGTTTAAGAATTTGAGGCGCCCTGGGATAGGATTGCCAAATTCTTAAATGATTGTTTATGAGGTTTTGTGGGCTTTGTGGGATGGGAACTGAAAGGTTGCAACCCCCCTTTGCGGTTCCCTTTTTGTGGAATGACCCTTATGGGATGAAATCGGGCTTTGCAGAAAAACAATTTTTCAGGCTCCGAAAAATTGTTTTTTCCCCACCTGCCAGGTGAGGGTTGTTAGATTTTATGTCAGTTGCCTCCTCCTGCTCCTCCTCCTCCTCCTCCTCTCCTCCTCCTCCTCGTCCTCCTTGTCATCCTTGTCGTCCTTGTCGTCCTCGTCGTCCTCGTCGTCCTGGCTCAACTGCGACCCGCGATCCACAGTGTTCTCTGCCGGACCTCAACCACGACCACCCACGCCCAGTGTTCCCTGCCGGACCTCAACCACGACCATCCACGCCCAGTGTTCCCTGCCGGACCTCAACCACGACCGTCCGCGCCCAGTGTTCCCTGCCGGACCGCAACCACGAC